CGCCCAGCAGCGTTATTGGCAGCAGCAGGGACTCCCACGTTCTCATCCACTTGTCGAACCTGCTGTTCAACAATGACATTCCCCTGTTGATCAATTCTCTGCCCCTCTTCGTTTCTCCTGTTTCCTTCCCTGTCAACCAAGTGACCTTCTGCATCTTCAACCAAGATAAGTGGAGAGACCATTGTAGATTGCTTCTTAGCTTTCCTGTTAGTTCTTTCCAACCTAGCAAGCTCGTCGATGCTCAAAGTCACAAGCTCCTTCTCTTTGTTGCTTCTGGTTCTGCGATTAGGCATACACATGAAACAGGAACAAAGAAAAGTAGCAGAAAGTCAGTAAACAAATTAAAACTTAGACAAAATCCTAATACTAAAAATCGATAGGCAGCTATTACTCCCCGGAAACGACGCCAAAAACTTGATAGGGTCAGGTTTTTCCCAAATAAAACTACTGCAAGTGCACAGCAAAAGCAGTTGTAGTACAAGGGGTTATCGAATCCCAAGGGAGTATGTAAACCACACTAGCGATTATAGATTCAGATTAACCTAAGCGATAAATAATGAATGTAATGCAAAACAGTAAAATAAATGCAAGAGGGCGTTTTTATGCTTGTTCTTAAAGTTCAGACGGCTAAAGGCGCTAAGTCAGGACAGTTCGCAGGTTGAATCCGAGAGTGTAGAATGCATGCAATCAGGAATGAATTAAAACCGTCTTGAACATGAATAGCAAAGATATAACTAATCAATTCTCATTGCAGAAGTTATCTATGTCTAAATCACAGAGTTTCAAATCTCTTTGCAAACCCTAACAACCTAAACATGCAGTAATGATCAGGTTCAATTGTTCACAAAACTCCTAAGCCAAATCTCTTTGTACTAGGGCGTTTTGCTCATCTAATACTAGTTCAGGTGATTAATAATGCTCTCACATCTATCAAACAACCTAGGGTTTCGAAATCCAGATGATGTGTCTAAGAAATCGATATGAATGCAAGCACAAATGAAGAACCAATGAATTTCCTATAAGTTTTTAGCAATTCTACAAACTCTTCTTCAACCTTTGAAAAGCCCTAACCTAACTAACAAACTACTCAGACATGGTGATTTGAGAAAATATCATGAAAAGAATAGATTGCATAAAAGAAATAAGAAGTAGAAATAAAGGAGTTCGAAATCTACTCTGAAGGAGTCTGATTTGTCTCTCCAAAAGCTCTGCTACAAATCTCTCTCTAAAGCTCTCAAAAAGAATAATAAGATACAAGATATCTGCCAAAAGAATGGCTGAAAAACCTAATATACAAGCTAAAACACGATCTGGAGCCTTTTTGTAAATACTAGAACTTTTGGGCCAAAACTGCAAATAATCCTCTATCTTTTAGAAAACAGCCACGACCCCTTCCTTTCTGGGTGACGAGCGTCACCAGGCTGGTGACGAGCGTCACCCATATGCATACTTTTCTTCTTCGAGCTAGGTACTTCGTGGCTTCAACTCAGAATGCTCCAAAAGGCTTTAATATCTCCAATTATGCTCTAGACATGCTATAACCTGCAAAGACTCTTCTAGGACTCTAAAAAGACCAAAAAGAGTCAATAAAAGGACTTATACCATGGTTAAAAACCATAAAAATCATGATATATCAAGAGTCAAAACTCTTGTATCAATTTCCCTTTGTGTCGAGTTTCCATCGGATAACCTCGAGCTAATAGTCGTGTTTTGTGGGGTTTCCGAGGGTAAATAGAGTTTGGCTCGAAGAAAGGTGATCGGATCGAGAGCTAGCCGAGGAGAAAGAGATCGGGCCGTACCGTTAGCCGAGAGATTCCTAGGGAGATCGGATATCTTCGATTTGATGCGAGTTTCATCGGGATTTCTTCTAACCAATCTGTTTACAACCTTGTCTAAGGTGAGTGCATGACTGTGGTTGGTGTCTAGGATCGTTGGATTGCTAGGGTTTAATGTTTTGCATGTTTGATTGTGTGGTTATCATGTTGTGTGTTTAGAACTGTTAAGCGATTATATGTTATGGTATTGTGAGGTGTTTACCATGGCATCGATGATTTCTAGCTAACCTCAGGGTAATCCGGATCATGTACTAGCTTAGGAGATGTGGGATTTTCGCTGAAGTATACATGGGTCTTAAAATGTGATTGATCATGGGTGGTTAGGTTAGATGATCATGGCCGTTTGATATATGTTATGTCTATTGTGAATTGATTGTGTGGAATGTTGAATCCGATAGTATGAATGCGTGAATGATACTGACCAAAGTGTTACAGAATGACCGTGCTCACTAAGTATTTATCAAATACTTATGCCTCTCTTTTTGAGTGTGCAAGTACTAAGCAGTAAAAGGAGTGAGACCGGTGGTAGTGATGGACATGGATGGATCGGGGATTAGGAGTTTTTATGTTTAAGACGTGTGTTTTGTCTTATGGGCTTTGGTGTTAAGCGTTTTAGGTTGCTAGATTGTATGATGTATTCATTAGCGAACTGTTGTGCTTTGTTTGAGTTAACCTCCGAATCTTGTTTAAGTGCTTTATTCAAGTTTAATGGAATGAAATGAAGTTGTTTTGAATCCGCTGTGTATTAGTTAAATGAAAGAAAAAGTTTAAAAATTTAACTAAATATAAAACTGAACTGTTAGGATGTAGTGAAAGCATGGCTACGGTTTAATTAGTCGGGTCGGGCTTCCACAGCTTCCATCTCCACAATCTCATCCGATCCAGCTAGACTCGAGTTTCTCGTCTAATCTGATCATATCCTATAAAGACTGGCTGCAGTTATTGTCCATCGATCGTAGCAGCCAAGTGAAAGACCAGTGCTTATATCATTTTTAGTATTGACACCAAAGTTCTTTTAGCCCCAAGTTGTCTTTATCTGATCTGTTCAATATTTGCATTATATCATCTTTATTTGATTATTTCCATTCATATCATTTTAGTTATTCATCCATAAACAAAAATATAAAAAGAGTCATCCCTTCAACTTAGTTTTTATTAAAAAGATACATATAATTGATTGATCTTAGATTCATTATATGCATCATCAATCATTTGTTTGAATTCAAATCATTTAACACTAATCGTGAAATTTTTGTTTCCATTCATTGTGCATTTATCAAAACGAGTTTCCATTTCTATCTGATGGGAAAGTGATCTTTCTTCCCGATGATCTATCACAGCTTTGCAAATGAATACGAGACTCATTGGTAACAATGGACCCTAGTCTTAGGGCCCAAAGATGTGAGGGGGACAACAGTTGCGGGCATATGGTGCTTGTGAAGGAGATGTGAGGATACAGAGGTGGCCATTCATCTATTTATCCTTCTATGATGTATGGGCATCTCTTCTCCTTCTGAACATACATCACATAGCAGTGGTGGTTTCATCCGTTGGTTATTGGTCTTCTTGTGTGCCCCCTACTTTCTCCAAACATTTTTTGCGGGTGCTTAGCTTGTTTTCTAGTTCATTTCGTCCACCGTTTGGAGGATGTAACTCTTTGAGTTTTGTATTAGGACTCTTCTTATAATCTTCATTCCTCCGAAAACTTGCTTGTGAATGATTAAAAAGAACTTTTGACTCTTTGCCTGTTCCACTACTTCTTATTGCTTTGTCTCCTAAAAACTTGATTTACGCTCCTGGTAACTCCTTGATGAGCTTAAGTGAAGAAAAAGGTACATCTTATACTTGGTTAGCCTGATTTCAGGGTTTACTCGGAGTTTTTTGCAAAACTCATGTCTAACTCTGCGCTTAGGGTTAGTTTACTGATACATATCGGAGTTATCTCAGGGCGAGATATCCGGATGGTAGGAAGGTTCCTCCCTTGCGATTTCGAGCTCCGACCACACTCTTTTGTCGGGCATACTGATCAACGAACTGATGCTTCGTTCGGGAAGCGGTCTTGGTGGAGATCCTTGGATGCGGAAGAGGATGTGGTGCTGGTGGACGTGGATGTGCTTTTGCATTTCAATCTTGCCCGCCTTTTCTTTCCTTGACATCCTAGGTCTCCTTTGGGCATAGCCATCGTCTCCCTCCACCGGCTCTTTCTTCACCATTTTCTCCTTCCCGCTTTCTTCTTTGCAAATCCTGCTTTTAGGGTGTTTAGTTTTTCTTCTTTGTGTTGCCTATGAACCGCTTGACGGATGCAATTCTTTTAGTTTTGTAATATGGCTCTTGCTGAATTTTTATCCCTTCAAAGATTTGCTTATAAATGAATAAAGTAAAAATTTTCTACTTATTGCATGTCCCCTTTTTCGTTTGCTAACTACGACTGTGCCCCCAAAACTCAAACTTTGCAGGGTAACTTTTGTCTGGCTGTGGGTTGTAACCCTTCATTTGCGCTTATCCGCGTCTGACCTTGCGAGTAGGGTATTAACTTCTCAATTAATTATGAATAGCAACAATTAAAAAAAAATCGAAAGCTACAAAAAGATTACTGTTTTCCAGATGACAAATTATCTCCAATTAATTCTTAATGACCATTTGAAAAAAAAAAAACAAATATATTGAGGTCTTAGCTTTCTTTTTGTTTTTTCTTTTTTTTTTTAATGTTTTTCTGGTTCCTTGTGGAGAAAGAGTACTCTCTGGTTTCATGTGATAAAAGCATCATGCAGCCAAATATCAATTCGAGATGCTCTGAATGTGAGAGGCGAGGCTCGTGATGAGTGTGGCCTAGAATCAATATTGTAATTATTTTTCTCGTCTACACTAGATTGAACACGTACTTGATTATATTTCTATAGACCTTTTCAAAGAATTTATGGCCTTAATCTAACTCCATGTCCAAACTTAATAGGTTTTGAACATTATCTACTACATATTTGATGCATGTCGTTCTAGGTATTTCGTTCCATACATGTACACTACGTTATTGTGGACGATCAATTGAATATAAGACAACTCGTATTCCAAGTCATGATCCCGACAAGGAACACATCACACATATGCTTAATGTTTTACTAAATGGAGCTAATTACTCGATTGTTTTAGGATATGATCTCGTGATAGCAAACCAAAATCGGTGGACCCACGAGATTCAACTCAGTTAAACATCTCCCACAAGAAAATGCAGACGTCAATATTCTTTACAATGGCTATATAAACCCTAGATCAGCACAAGGTTCCATCCAACACAAACACAAACACACAAACAAAATAACCATGAAGAAGTTTCACGGAGTCGCCTTGGTTGTTTTTCTATCAGCTTTAGCGACTACTTGCAAAGCAGATGAGTAACTTTCTTGCGAAGAGAAGGAGCCATTCACATATGGAAACATCGACGTTTTAAGCAGTAAAAATTTCGATAAAGACTTCATTTTCGGTGTTGCATCTGCTGCGTACCAGGCATGTAACAAATCATTACTCATTGTGTAGAAAACCATTAGTAAAAAACATAACTCCAACGTTGCATGGTTGTTTCTTTTCATTTCAGGTCGAAGGAGGCAGAGGTCGTGGTCTAAATGTTTGGGATGGCTTCACTCACCGATACCCAGGTATGTATGTCGTTTGCATGCTGTTGTATATTTACGTGTATAACTAATAGGTCTATATATATATATATATTCAAAGTAATTATGTATTTGTTTACTATCAGAGAAAGGAGAACCAGATCATGGGAATGGAGACACTACTTGTGAGTCATATAAAAGATGGGAGGTTGATTCCTATAAACACATACTAATTGAATTATCTAATCAACTAGGTGTGGATTGATATGAGATTGTTGTATATGTAAACTGCAGAAAGATCTAGAGGCGATAATCGAAATGAATGCTACTGGCTACAGATTCTCCTTTGCGTGGTCAAGAATCATTCCAAGTATGTACACATTATCGATACATACAATACAAGTCTTTGTGTTTGATTAAGATTTTCAGGAAGATTATTTATACGAATATGTAAACATGAATGAGCAGAAGCAAAAAGGAGTAGGGGAGTGAACAAAGGAGGTCTTGATTAGTATCACAAACTCATAGATGCCCTCATTGCAAAGAACATAACGCCTTTCGTTACCCTCTTTCACTGGGACCTTCCTCAAACACTGCAAGATGAGCATGAAGGTTTCTTGAGCCGCGAAGTCATGTATGTTATTTGTGCAGTGCCACCATGCTTCTTATATTATAAAGAAATATGGCAGCATGCGTATAAAGATTTGATCTTGCAATGAATGAAACGATTCTATAACATATGCGCAGAGATGATTTCAAAGATTACGCGGATCTATGTTTCAAGGAATTTGGTGGAAAGGTAAAGAACTGGCTCACTATCAACCAGCTCTACACACTGCCTACGAGAGGCTATGCAATCGGGACAGATGCACCCGGTCGATGTTCTCAAGCGATTGATGAGAGATGTTACGGCGGAAATTCTTCAACGGAACCCTATATAGTTGCACATAACCAGCTTCTTGCTCATGCTGCGGCGGTTGATCTTTACAGGAAGAAATATAAGGTGAGTTCATGACTTACAAGAAAAAAATTTAATCTAACAGATTTAGCTATTCCTAATTATATCATATCATTTGTGTGTATATCATGACCAACAGTTCCAAGGAGAGAATATCGGACCTGTGATGATAACTAGATGGTTTCTTCCATATGAGTAGACTGATAAAGCTTGCATAGATGCAACTGAGAGGATAAAAGAATTCTTCTTAGGATGGTACCAACAAATGAAAACGTCTTTTTAAAAACATTATTAATATATGTTGTATATATAAACCCCAACTTAGGTATAACCATGTTGTTTCCCCCTCCAATCTTTAAATGGATCAGGTTTATGGAGTCGCTAACAAAAGATAGATACCCAGACGTCATGAGGAAAATTGTGGGAAGTCGTCTTCCCAACTTCACAAAAGCAGAAGCCAAACTCGTAAAGGGTTCATATGATTTTCTTGGTCTCAACTATTACGTCACTCAGTATGCACAGCCAGCTGCTAACCCATATCCTTCGCCAAATCACACTGCCATGATGGACCCATGCGTAAAGCTCACGTGTACTACTCTATATATTACCACTTAGTTACAACCTTTCTATTACAAAACATATTATGTGACTGACCATCAATTATTTCATCATCCTTGTGTCTACAGCTGAAAATTCACGTGGTGAAGTTCCTGGTCCACTGGTATATATATATGCATGATTCTTCCATTTAATAATAAAAACTTTAAGCAAAATAATTCTTCTGGCTTATATATATTTGCCTCTGTTTCTCAGTTCTCTGAAGACAAGGTAAGCGGCAACAGCTATTACTACCCAAAGGGAATTTACTACGTAATGGATCACTTCAAAACCAGATACGGTGACCCTTTAATCTATATTACCGAGAACGGTGAGTTCTACTACTCATATCTTTTCATGTTAAGTGTATTTCCAATATTTCTCTGAATATATTGACACAAATATTGTACCAATTGTTCATGTACCGTGACAGTTTGATTAGGAATAGTAGCCTCGGTTCTGAAACCCGTGAGGAGGCTGTTGCCAATTCCAAGCGGATTGATTATCTTTGTAGTCATCTCTGCTTTCTCAGTAAAGTCATCAAGTGAGTGCATGCCAGATACTACTACTATACTTTTGTTTTTTTCTTTTTTCTTTTACATACATACATGCATGTTTGATATCATCATCCTTTTAATTATGATTGTCCATGCAGAGAGAAGAATGTCAACATAAAAAGATACTTTGCATGGGCTCTTGGAGATAATTATGAATTCTGTAAAGGCCTTAGCGTCAGATTCGGACTCAGTTACGTTAATTGGACAGACGTTACTGATAGAAACTTAAAAGATTCTGGCAAATGGTACCAGAAGTTCATTAACGTTTTTTTTTTTTTGAACATTAAAGTTCATTAACGTTACCACCAAGAACCCTACAAAACAAGATTTCCTCCGCTCTAGCCTCTCTTCCCAATACAAGAAGCTCGCAGATGCATGAACACTTTATGCCCATGATCAAGCTCATGTCATTACTATTTCTACTTGCTCCACAGATAACATAAGGAACTTCGTTGACTGTACTAAATAGAATAATCCCCCCCCCCCCCAACTTAGGGTTGGTAGAACTATAAACATGTTTTCATTATTAATCAGATTTAGGGTGATAATAAATTGCGTCGTCGGATACGAAAGCATACTCGAAAAACATTTTGAGTGTATACACTCATTTATGTTACATGCTTTGTTGCGTTGTAAGATGGAACCGCATACTTACGGAGCAGTATGACATATCTAGACGATTCTATAAAAATAGATTGATTATACTTTTTTGTTTCGGATTAAAAAACTTGTCTAATTGATTACCCTTTTCATTGAATTATTTTCCTAAATTGATCCGTGAATCCCTGCGAAATTCATTTGGCCCAATGTTTCGTTTATTGATTTTTACTTCGTTTTTTTTTGTTTCTCTTTAGTTTGGTTTCTCTTACCGCATCGACTTTCAAATCTTTTACGTTTCTGTTTACTTTTATTTGCTTTACTTTTCAATTTCCACATTCAATAGCTACCAAAACCGTGACACCAAAACCCTCACAAATCCTTGCATCTTTTGTCACTCTAATATCCTTTTGTTTTGTATTAGATTTTTCGTCATGGTTCGAACTCTAAGTATTACAATACACGTTGTGCAATTACAGCTTAGGATCTTTACAGATTTAAAAATTGAGAAAATTTATAAGAAGAATCCACATTTATATAGCAACTTTAGATACTAAAAGTATCCCATTTGGTTTTAGACGGGTTGTTGTTTAGTGATGAGTTAGTCCCTGGTTCGGGAATGGCATTCTCCATGTCTTCTTTGGTCATGAGTTTTTTCTGCTGCTTACTTCCCGGTCCATGTATGTACCGTTTTGCTTTCCATGTGCATCTTCTGTCGATTGACAAAACTGTCTACATGGCAGATTTTTATTTGTTTGTCAATGGGAAATTGTGCTGCACTTTTGGCATTTTTTCATGTTCCTCCCACCTTTTTAACACTTCACTTCTCAAAATAATGATGTGTCGCGAACCTGCTCTGTCAATAGTCACATCCTCTCTGCACACGGCTTGAGGCATATATATTTGCACTTCAGGCTCTTGCCATTTTGCGTCATTTGCTACTGGCTTAGATATTTTGAATGTCTCTTTGCCATTTATTTCTCCTATAAAAATGGAGGCGAGATCTTTATTTTTCCTTACTTAACCGAGCCTCAGCTACAATATATACAATAAGTAGAAATGCCAGATAATCATGTGGGAAAAATTACAAGACAAAGAACTATAACCGAGACGAGATCTTTATTTTAGACTGTTATAATATTTTCTTATGCATTTTTGTATTTTTTTTTATTTTCTATTTTCCTAAGCTGGAAAACCATTACATAAGGTTCTCCTGCATCATTGTAATTGTATACCTTTGATTATTAATAAAAAGCGAGATTTTCTTTTTTTTTCTTTAAGCTTTGTTGCGACCAGTTACTCCATAACTTGAGAATCCTTGTGTTTTATCATCGGCCTTACACAGCCTTTGTCGTCCACAACACTTCCCCCTTTGACGTTCATCTGACCATCTATCTGTTAACTCGAGCTTCTCAGTTATTGTATCAACCAATGTTTCCATCTCCACAATCTCAACCGATCCGGCTAGACTTGAGTTTCTTTTTCATCAATCAAATCCCAGGAAGACTAATTGTAGTTATTGTAGAAGTTATCTATGCCTAAATTCCAGAATTTCAAATCTCTTTGTAAATTTTAATAATTCAAGCATAGATAACTTCTTCAATGAGAATAGATTGGCTATAAATCAATGTTTCGAGTTCTAGACGGTTTTATTTATTTCCTGATTGCATGCATTCTTCATTCTCAGTTTCAACCTGCAAATAATCCTGGCCTAGCGTTTTTAGCCTCGTGAACTTTAGAAAAAATCATCAAATCGCCTGCTTTTATTTATTTAGTTATTTCGCTTTACATTCACTCATTTTGACTTAGCATAATCTGAATCTAAATTATGTAGTGTATTAGCTTACTCCCTTAGGATTCGATAACCCTTTTGTGCTACAACTGTGTTGCTGTACACTTACAGTAGTACTTGAAATTAGGTAAAACTAGATCTCTATCAAGTTTTTGGAGCCGTTGGCGGAGAGTAATAGCTGCCTACAGATTTTTAGTATTAGGATTTTGACTAAGATTTATTTTGTTTACCAACTTTTTGCAACTTTTCTTGTGTCTGTTTCAGGTGTATGCATAATCACAGTACTAGAAAGAACAAAGAAAAGGAGCTTGTGACTTTGAGCATCGACGAACTCGCACGATTGGAGAGAACAATCAAGAAAGCTAAGAAGCAAACTACAATGGTTGATCCAATCGTCCTGATTGCAGATGCAGAAGATCACTTGATTGACAGAGAGGGGGACAGAAGGAACGAAGAGGGGCAGAGAGTTTATGAGAATGGTGCTTTTACAGTTGAACAGGGAGTTCAAGCAGCTGCACAGCGAGATCCGCCACCTGTTGGAGTGAACGTTGCTGGGTGTGGGAGGACTCTAGGAGACTACAACAGGCCTGATCATTTCTATGCTAACAGAGTTGCAATCCGCCCACCTCCTTTTCAGAGGAATGACTTTGAGTTGGAGCCAGCTTAATACACACTTGTGGCTCAGCAACCTTTTCATGGTCTTCCTCATGAACACCCCATTGACCACATCCAGAGATTATAGGACTTGGTGACAAGTATCAAGTAAAATGGTATGTCCAATGATTATCTCTTCTGCAAGTTCTTTCCATACTCACTTGGAGGAGATGCATTATACTGGCTGAAACAGCTGCCACCAGGTTCGCTGACCACTTGGGAGGAAACCAAGAACACATTTTTGACTAATGTCTATGATGATGCCAGGTCTGAGGAGTTAAGGACAAAAATCTCTAGTTTTTCTCAAAGACCTACTGAAGCTTTCAAGGCTGCTTGGCTGAGGTTCATGGCATATCAGAGGGACTATCCACACCATGGGTTCAGTAAAATTCAGCTGCTGGGAATCTTCTTCAGAGGATTGGATTGGAGATATCAAATGGCGTTGGATGCTGCTAGCAATGGCAACTTCAACACAAGGTTTCCAGAAGATGCATATGTGCTTATTGAGAATTTGACATCCAGTAACATCACTAAGAATGCTGACTTTGAAAGGAAGTAGCAAGCTGGTGTGAATGATGGAAGTCAGATTGCTGAGGTCAAGACCAAGTTAGACAGTATGCATAGCCTTCTGATCGGGAAGAAATCAGTCCAATTTGCTGCTGAGGTGGAGACTTTCGAAAATCCTGAAGAGTTTGAAGAGGAAGATGTTAACTTCATCAATAGCGGAGGTTTTCAGGGTCAAAAGTTTGGGAATCAACAAGAGAACACAGGTTACAATAGAAATAATCATAGGAGTACCTTCACAGGAAACCAGAACTCTTCTGGTTATACTCTAAAGCCACAGTTTCAGAAGACTGAATTTCAGAAGCCATATCAGAACAGCAGCAACTTCACAAGGAACTATGTTTCCTTTTCTTAAGAGAATCCACCTGCACAATCTTCAGACAGTAAGGTGGAATCTCTACTGGAACAACTCTTGGAAGGCCAACAGAAGATCACTACCGATTTCAATAGAAATATTGATGCTCTACACAAGGATCTCAATGGGAAATTCAAAGCTCTGAACGCTCATGTGAAGAAACTGGATATTCAAGTTGCTCAAACTGCAGGATCTGTTCAAAGGCAAGAGGGATTCCTTCATGGAAGGACTGATGCTAATTCCAAGCACTACGTGAATGCCATCATACTAAAGAGTGGAAGAAACCTTCAACCAGTGTTAAGGAAAGGTTTGAGTCCTGAAGAAATCGTGGAACTGGAAGAGGTTGAAGATGAGTTTTCTACTGAGAAAGAAGGAGTGACGATCGTCACCAAGAGGGGTGTCGCTCATCACCAGCTTTACAAGAGAAAAACTTACGTTTTGACGGAGTGGTGACGAGTGAAGTCGTCACCCAGGGGTCGTCACCAACCCGAAGACAAAGCTGTTTTGACTGAAATTGCAGATAATGGCAAGGAGAGGATGTATACGCTCAATATACCATATCCTAAGCATCCTAAGAAGTCTAAACAGGATCTTGAAGATGCCAAATGCAAAGCTATCATGGACAAGTTGGTGATTGAATTCCCATTGATAAATGCTGTGAGGATTACTCATGTGATAAGGAGGTATGTGAAGAGAATGGTCACCAACAATCTGAGTCTAGAACAAGGAGAAATGATGATCAACAAATAGGTCAGTGCAGTGATTTAGAACAGAATACCTGAGAAGCTTTCAGATCCTGGAAGCTTTGTATTAGACTGCACCATCTTTTCAGACAGGTTTGGGAGATCATTTTGTGATCTTGGTTATAGTGTAAACTTGATGCCACATTCAGTTGCTAAGAGCCTGGACATGACTGATTTTAAAGCTAGTAGGATCTCCCTTGTCCTAGTTGATATATCAGTAAAAAATCCCAGAAAGTGTGATTGAGGATGTTCCTATCAAAGTGGGAGGTTGTATTATTTCCACTGGCTTTGTGGTTCTGGAGTATGGAGAAGAACCCAAAGATCTTCTGATTCTTGGCAGACCTTTCCTGGCTACTGCTGGAGTCATTATTGATGTCAGAAAAGGGAGAATAGAGCTGAATGTTGGTGACTTTGTGATGAATTTCGAAATGGATAAGCTGATGAAGAGGCCAACCATAGAAGGACATATATTTTTTGTGGATTTTCTCACCAACCTTGCTGAGCAAATCTTCTAAGAGTTGAGTCTAGAGGATCCTTTGGAGAGGGCATTGACAAGTTCTACAACAGAAGCAGAACTTCTGGATGAAGTTGCTTCTGGATATGCCAAGATGATGGATGCTATTGTATACGTCATGCAATTGGTTGCACAAGAGGAGCTAGTCGGCACCTCTGTGAAAGCTGCAACAATGGGAGACTGGAGTGAAGCTAAAGCTCCACAAATTGAGCTAAAATAGCTCCATGCAGGGCTAAGGTACGCCTTTCTTGGACATAATTCTACTTACACTGTCATTGTTAATAGTTTATTAAACAATGTAGAGCTCACCCTGCTGCT